CTGGCTGGGCTGGGTGTGTACGATGGGGACTCGGGCTTGGCTGTGCCCGGAACCCTTCTGTCGGGGTCGCAAAGCGCCCCCCAGGACCCATCTCCATCCCCAGCAGGACATCCCAGGAACCCCAGACTCACACTGCCCTCACCTCAACCATCCCACAGCCTCAGAGGTGGCCTGTGGAGTCTCCCTGACTCCCGCCAGCCTCCTGTCCCCTGGTTCAGACCCTCTGGCACCTCACTGGGGGGCCCCTGCCATGTCGTCAGGCACACGGCTTCCTGAGCCTTAGCAGCCCCTGCCTTCCCAGGCCAGGCCAAATCAAGGTTTCCAGGGGTGAATCTGACGCCCTCCTTATGCCCCCTTCCCATGCAGCCCTCTTGCTGGGCCCTGCCTCCACCCTTGTCACCTGGTCATACTGACCTCTGCACCTCTGAGGGCCTCCCCAACCCTTCCCGAGGGCAGGGCCCCGTCTGTCCCGTCGCAGTGAGTCAGCGGGGCGGTTGAGGCGCGGGCACACTCACATTGATAGCAGCAATCACCACCAGGTTGGACAGGTAGAACCGAAGCCACATTTCCTGCACAGCCTTCCAGTACTCCATGTAGTGCTCGGGCTTCCTCCCGCACATCTCCGTCAGGTCCAGGCCGGCGGAGAAGATCCCAGGGTGGTCCTGGGGGCGAAGGAGCCAGGGGCCCTGTCAGAGTCCATCCCCGGCCAGCCAGAGGTCCCCAGGGATGCTCCAGAGGTGGTGGGGAGCCAGAGCTGGGGCTTCGGGGCACACGTTCTGATCTCCCCCCAAGGTCAAGCCAGCTGCAGACGCCAGGCCAGGCTGGGAGGTGTTGCTGTCAGAACACAGCAAGCCAAGGAGGGGACCGCAATGAGCCGAGAAGCGAGACCCCTGCCCTGGGGAGTGGCTGAGAAGGCGTGTGTCCTGTGCAGATGCCCCGGGTCGTGACACAGCCACCAGAGGGGAGAGGAAAGCGAACACAGGTGGGCAGGTACAGCTGGGACAGAGGACGGCTTTCCAGCCAGGAACTGCTAGCCCAGACGGCAAACTGGGGTGCGGGTGGGGGGGCAGGAGGGTGACCGAGCGGCCATCATGGGAAAAGCCTGCACGTGGGGCTCCCGAGTGGTGTCACGATGTCCCTAAGCAAACGAGAATGAGACGGCACAGAGGCTTGTCCACGGTCCTACCGTTCGAGGAAAGCAAAGGCAAAGAATGCTGTGACAGAAGCTGCTGTCATCCTAGTGGGGGACGTGCTCCGCACCGACTAGAAAGGGTGAAATTTCTGCTATTCAGCAACAGGTCTGGAGGGGGCCAAACTGTGTCTTGGAAAAAGACGCAGACCCACCTTTACCCCTGCCCCCCACCGGAACCTACAAACGTGACTGTCTTTGGAAACAGGGTCTTTGCCGATGTGATCAACACGAGATCACAGGAGAGCAAGGCACCCTTCTAAGGAGGAGGGCGTTTGGACACACAGGGCAGAAGAGGCGGGAGTAGAGGCCAGGACCCTCCGGAGTGGAGGAAGTAAAGAGGGAGCCCCACGAGAGAAGGCCCCGCTGGTGCTGGGAGCCCTGTTCGTGGTCCTGTGCCACGTGTCCTCACATCACCCCAACGTCACCCTGCCCACCGTCATCTGCTGCGGGCCCCGCCGGGCAGGCCTCTGCTCTGGACACGGCAGGCACACAGCCAGGACCACAGTGCAGGCCCATTTATGGGGAGATGACACAGCCCCGGGGAGAATGTGGGCTTCCGAGGGACGGAGGCTGACGGCGCCACCCGGAAGCCAGAGAGGCAGAGGGGCCCTCTCTTCGTTGCTGAGGGACGGAAGTTCATCCTTGCGGCTCTCTTGGTTTCAGAGCACAAGAGAGAAAAGGGCATGCTCCGAAACAACATCCTAAATGGAGCATTTTCAGAAATTATCTGGAGCACAAAGTTCCCAGGCAGTTACAACCCGTCCAGGCAGATCAGCGGTAACTGTCACAAGCACCCACACCCAGGGGCATCCTACCCTCGGAGCTGCACCGAAGAACCCCCTCCTCCACAGGGCAAGGCTCTGCTCTGCAAAGCCCAGCCCCCCAGCACCCACTGGCCATGTGCATTGGGCCTACCTGAGAGCCCCACAGCTCAGAGCTGTGACAACACCGGGCCACACCCAGGACAACCCAAGGGTTTAAGGAAAGCAGGTGCATGCCCAGTGGGCGTTCCGAACCTCGTCTGTAAGAAGCTGGGACCATCTGCCTTTGATAATGGCAGAACCGAGACCTTCTCACTGGTCTCTGTAATATGGAGGCACATCTATCGGGGGACACGCATGTGACAGGCAGACGGCGCCTGAGTTTGGACCTTGAACTCGGGGAGCTAACGAGTACCCACTGACGTGAGGATGATGCCACGGAAGGTCTTGTCGTTCTCCAGTTTCTCCAGGCTGATGAGCAGCTCGGTCAGAAACTCTAGGCTGAAGCTGTTCACTGGGGGGTTCCTCATCTTCACCACAGCGACCCCTAGTGTGAACAAGAAGAGGGGAGGGCTCACAGTCAGTCCGGGGAAAGCACACCCAGCCAGCCTGCACCCTCAGCCTGGCCAAGGTCAGCGACAAGGTTCTTTTGTTTTCAGTGCAGGTGAGACCCACCTAATGTAAAATCACCATTTAAAAGTGGACAATTCAGGACTGTTAGGTACCCACAGTGTCGCACAACCACCATGATCTACTTGCAGAGCATGTCTAATCCAAAAGAGGGCCCTGTGCCCATCAGCGGTCACCACCCCTCCCCAACCCCTGCAAGCGATCGTCTACTTTCGTCTCTACGGACTTGTCTACGCTGGACATTTCACATGAAAGGAAGCATCCAATCTGCAACCTTTCCTGTGGCTTCTTTCACCGAGCCCCATGTTCTCAAGGCTGAGCCAAGCTGCTGTGTGGGGACCACGTTCTGTGCACCCACGCACGTGCTGGGGGACACCTGGGTTGGTTTCACCTTTGGCTCTTGTGAATCACGCTGTTGTGAACGTTCGTGTGCAAAGTTTTGTCGATCCTTTTCTCCCAGATGCAAGTGCTCCGTCCCCAGGGGATGAGGAAATGGCTTCCGTTTCTTGAGGAGTGAGTGAGCAAACTCTTAAGACCAGATGTGCAAGGAGGAACTCCCTTTGGGTGCTCTGGTTCACGCTTGTTTAAGGACAGAGGCTACAGACATTGGCGGCCTGAGGTTCTCCAACTCTCCCCGGTGTGCTCATGAGTCCTGCCAGCGCCTGGGGCAGGGCAGCTGGGGCCATGGGTGCTCACTGCCTGCCCAAGGACAGACCCCAAGGGCTGCAGAAATGCCCCCCGTTCACTGAGGGTACATTTCTCTGGGCAGAACCTTACAAATCTCCGGATGGTCAACACAATTCTCTAGGGGTGACAACTAAGTCCTGAAGGCAAATGGGCTCTTTGGAGACCTCTGATTTCCAAGAAAGAAGTACTTATTAACTGGCTAGCGGCATGTTTGTGTGCACAACAAACATTTTCCAGAAGCGAGCTTCTGAACTTGTTTCAGACTCAAGTTTCTGAGGCTGACTGGATTTTTTTTTTTTTTTTTTTTTGAGAGTGTGCAGGAGTGTGTGTGTGGGGGGAGCTGGGGGGTGAGGATGTGTGGGGATTCAAGCACCCGGATAGACAAAATCTGACTTGTCTGCCTCCCTGGATGAGACTAACGCCTGTCGGCGTCCAGAGGCTCCCGGGAGCCGGGGACGAGAGTCCGGGCACTGCGCGGCTCCCCAAGAGTGCGCCCTTCCTGCACGGCGGGAAACCGTGGGAGGCTGCCTCGCGCTGGCCCTGACCTGCGGCCCCGGGCGCGCTTACCTGCCGCCGGGTCCGGCTCCACCAGCACCCGCGGGCTCCCAAAGCAGCGCACGCCGTCCCCGCCGCCGGCCGCCGGCACCGTCCGCCCGGGGGCCACGCGGAGGCCCCGGGCCCCTGCGAACGACAGCGCGAGGCCTGTTAGCCTCGCCCACCCGCCGGCCGCGGTCCCCGAACCCCCCCCAGCCCCTCGAGTCACGCACAGGGTCGGTGCAGGGCACGCGTCAGGACGCGCATTCCCACGGCCAGCGCCATCTTGACCCGCCGGAGTCCGCTGCCAGCCCAGGTCCACGCCCCGCCCCGCGGCCCTGCTCCGGCAGCCCCGCCCACTTGGCTCGCAGGGTATCAAGGCCGCGTGACCCGCCGGCGAACCCCGTGCGCCGCAATGGGAAGTTTGCCCGCTTCCCCTGCCGTCCACCGGCCAAAGCTAAGCTCGAGTCACTCGGGCAGGACTGCTGAGGACCGAGGTGGCTGCACCGAGTCCCAGAGGGTTGCGAGCTCAGGCGGTGACAAGGGACTGTGGCGGAAGTCCCCGCTACTCCGGCATGTGAGCAGCAAAGGCAACCAGATGACAGCAGGGCTGTCTCTCCAACTGCACCCGCAGACTGCAGTACTAGGATCGGGGGCTACCGGCAGCTGCCTCCCGTGTGAGCTCCGCCTCGGCCGCGGGTGCGGAGGGGAACAGGAATCAAGCGGGTAGTTGAGGCAGGCATAGCGGACTAAGAGCAGCCCATTCACCTTCCCCTTCTGCAGCTGGGCAGCAGGTGCCCACACTCCTGGCAGGAGCCCCCGCCCGGCAGCTGGATGAGCTGGGGGAGCAGGAAGCCTGTGTGCTACCTGGCAGGACGCTGCCTGGCGCTGACTGTCCAGTCTGCACAGTGAGTGACTGAGACTTTAGTTTTTAACGTCTGATGTGTTTCCACATCTTCCTTCAACACAAAAGCATGGCTGAGTGGCCGAACAGCCTCGGCTGCCCAACAGGGAGCATATGGGTGGTAAAATCTTCTCTTCTACGTGTCTCCGGCAGCAGTGAGCGGGCACTCTGCGGAGCCAGCCAGCAGCTCTCCTGGCTCAGAGACTCTGGAAAGGAACTAGAATGCAGTCCTGTGTTTTTAATTCCCTCACAGTTTGTGGCCAAGGACAGGAAAGAGGCAGTGAAGCCAGTACTCACTGTATTCTAATCCTCTTTATTCAACACAATCCCTTCATTCTACACAACAAAGTACAAACACAACGGCGCCTAAAATGCTACAAGTAACAAAACTCAAAACAACAAATTTATAGTACTGACTGTACAATAAAAGCCGAGAGAAGCAATGTACATGTTGCCCAGGTAACCTGCAAGACCACCCTGAGCAGCAGCTGCGGCAGGGGGGTGGTCCGTGATGACCCTGCAGAGCTGGCTCTCCTTATGCTCACCAATTTCAGAGGAAGGGAGACGTGAGTACACGTAGAAACAGAACCATTTCCCGGAACTAACATGGGCCGTTTGACCACAGGTGCTGGAAGAGGAGCCGATCAGGGGAGCAGGGCCAGGCGAGTAGGAACGGCAGCTGCACCCAGGTGCACCCTTTCCTGAGGGACCCTGCAGACCACCGAGGGCAGGACCGGGACCCCCGACCGGCCCCCAGTCATTTGTGGAAATGAAACAGGTACCCCACCCCCAGGCTGGGGCCACACTACCACCTGGAGCCCTGCTTTGTCCCTGCTGGCTTTGCCACTGGATGGACTCTCTTAGGACCTGGAAACGTGGGAGCTTTCTAGCCAGAAAACTGGAGGGCATGCTTACAGGCACAACCCCAAACCATGGACACTCCCCTGGAACTCTGCCTTCAGAGGAAATGTCTCAGTTGCTGTCCTCAAAGCCTGCCCTGAGTGAGGAATTTCTTTCCAACCAACCCTCCTTTGGCTAGAGAAGTGACAAAGCTGAAGTGGATGGGATCGAAGTCACAGGGCGCAGAGCTCCGGGGGCCCTGCTTATCGGGAGGAGTTGGAGCTGGAGCGGCTCCTGTGGCGGCGGCGGCCAGGGGAGCGAGATCGCCGGCGCACGGGGGACCTGCGCCTTGGGGAGCGTGACCTACAGGAAGAGAAAAGACCACATCACACATGGAGGTCGACATCCCAGACACCAATCCGCGTCACAGACAGCAGGGGCAAAGCTGGCTTCTAGAAGGAACAATGCTGTACGGTTTCACAGTCAATGCTTTCAGTCAGGATGGCTCCAGTGATGGCATGGACACAGAGCCCTTGGGAAGGAAAAGGGGATCTGTTGGGGAGACCCCCTTTCCTGAGGGCTATGGAAAGGGCAGCTCAACACCACTAGCAGAGGAGGGCCAGGCTCTGGCCTCTGCCAAGGGACTTGAACTCACCTCTCCTGACCCTTCGTGTGTGTGTGTGTGTGTGTGTGTTTTAATATCAGAGGAGGGCCAGGCTCTGGCCTCTGCCAAGGGACTCGGACTCACCTCTCCTGACCCTTCGTGTGTGTGTGTGTGTGTGTGTGTG